ACCATCACTGAGGAAAGAATGGAGGGACCCCCAGCTGGCAGTGGGAAGGAGCCCAGGCCTTAGCCAGACCCTCCTGTTCCTGGGGCTCTGGAGGTGAGGCCTCATCTCCCCCACCACACACCCTTCAGGTGGTCCTCCTTTTGGACACTTGCGGTTCAGCTTCCCAGCTGTCCCCTGTGCAAATGCGGAGGATGGAGGAGTTGTCAGAGGACAATCGGGGCCAGGAGGCATCTGTCTGCAGAGAGGTTCTGCAGAGAGGTGAGAGGAGGGGCCTGTCTCTGAGGTCAGAGCAGACAGTGGACTGGATTGACCATGGCTAGGAGTAAAACGTGGAGATACGGTCCACCACCAGCCACCTTGTACAGATGAGAAACAGGCCCCAGGAGGTGAGTTACTTACTCAAGGTCACACAGCTGGTGTGTCGAGAACCAGGATCTAAGCCCTTCTTACAGATTAGGAACCAAGACTCAGAGAGGTGGAGTGATTTCCTGGAGCTCACACAGCTCGGGGGATGGGGGTCCTGGCCCAGAGCCGCTTGCTTCCAGAGCCCACATTCTCTCCACCCTGCTCCCCATCCTCCTAGCTGGGAGAAAGGACCCAGGAGAAAGTAGATTCAGGACAGAGGAAGGTTGGGAAAGCAGGAGGCAATTTTAGAGAAAAAGTTTTTAAATGCATATATCCTAGGGGGAAGAAAAACCACATTCAATCTTTTAATCTCACTCCTAAAACACATATTATTTAAACTACATACAGAAAAAGTTCACCATGATTCCACAGGGCCCTGCAGAGCTCGTAGGCACAAAGTCTTGCTGTGTCCCCTGTTTCTTTGATTACAGGACACAGCCTTCATTCAGCCTCCTCAACCTTCCCTGAGTTCAAATGGGCAGGTTCAAGCAGTTGTTAATTAGGGAAGGGAGGGATTGGGAAACCAAGGAGAAACAGCCAAGAGCAGCCTTGGGGCAAGGTCATGTTTCCCATCAAGGGATACACACAAAAATATCTTTGAGATATTCTGCAGATATCTGCAGAACCATTCAACTTCAGCTTCTTCAGCATTAATGGCTGCGGCACAGACTTGAATGAAGAAGCTGAAATTGAACAGTTCTATGAAGACATACAAGACCTTCTAGAACTAACACCAAAAAAAGATGTCTTTTTCATCATAGGGGACTGGAATGCAAAAGTAGGAAGTCAAGAGATACCTGGAGTAACAGACAAGTTTGGCCTTGGAGCACAAAATGAAGCAGGGCAAAGGCTAATAGAGTTTTGCCAAGAGAACTCACTGGTCATAACAAACACCCTCTTCCAGCAACACAAGAGATGACTCTATACATGGATATCACCAGATGGTCAATACTGAAATCAGGTTGATTATATTCTTTGCAGCCAAAAATGGAGAAGCTCTATACAGTCAGCAAAAACAAGACCAGGAGCTGACTGTGGCTCAGATCATGAACTCCTTATCACAAAATACAGACTTAAACTGAAGAAAGTAGGGAAAAGCACTAGACCATTCAGGTATGACCTAAATCAAATCCCTTACGATTATACAGTGGAAGTGACAAATAGATTCAAGGGATTAGATTGGATAGATAGACTGCCTGAAGAACAATGGATGCAGTTCAAAACACTGTACAGGAGACAGGGAGCAAGACCATCCCCAAGAAAAAGAAATGCGAAAAGGCAGAATGTAAGGTCCGAGGAGACCTTACAAATAGCTGAGAAAAGAAGAGAAGCGAAAGGCAAAGGAGAAAAGGAAAGATATATATCCATTTGAAAGCAGAGTTCCAAAGAATAGCAAGGAGAGATAAGAAAGCCTTTCTCAGTGATCAGTGCAAAGAAATAGAGGAAAACAATAGAATGGGAAAGATTAGAGATCTAGTCTTAGAGATACCAAGGGGACATTTCATGCAAAGATGGGCTCAATAAAGGACAGAAATGGTATGGACCTAACAAAAGCAGAAGATATTAAGAAGAGGCGGCAAGAATACACAAAAGAACTATACAGAAAAGGTCTTAATGACCCGGATAACCAAGATGGCATGATCACTCACCTGGAGCCAGACATTCTGGAGTGCGAAGTCAAGTGGTCTTAGGAAGCATCATTATGAACAAAGCTAGTGGAGGTGATGGAATTCCAGTTGAGCTATTTCAAATCCTAAAAGATGAGGCTGTGAAAGGGCTGCACTCAATAGGCCAGCAAATTTGGAAAACTCAGCAGTGGCCACAGGACTGGAAAAGGTCTGTTTTCATTCCAACATCAAAGAAAAGCAATGCCAAAGAATGTTCAAACTACCGCACAATTACAGTCATCTCACATGCTAGCAAAGTAATGCTCAAAATTTTCCAACCTAGGCTTCAGCAGTACGTGAACTGAGATGTTCAAGCTGGATTTAGAAAAGGCAGAGGAACCAGAGATCAAATTGCCAACATCCGCTGGATCATAGAAAAAGCAAGAGAGTTCCAGAAAAACATCTATTTCTTCTTCATTGACTTACACTAAAGCCTTTGACTGTGTGGATCACAACAATCTGTGGAAAATTCTTTAAAAGATGGGAATACCAGATCTTATCTGCCTCCTGAGAAATCTGTATGCAGGTCAAGAAGCAACAGTTAGAACCGGACATGGAACAGCAGACTAGTTCCAAATAGGGAAAGGAGTGTGTCAAGGCTGTATATTGTCACCCGGCTTATTTAACTTATATGCAAAGTACATCATGTGAATGCTGGGCTGGATGAAGCACAAGCTGGAATCAAGATTGCTGGGAAAAATATCAAGAACCACAGATATGCAGATGATATCACCCTTATGGCAGAAAGCGAAGAACTAAAGAGCCTCTTGATGAAAGTGAAAGAGGAAAGTGAAAAAGTTGGCTTAAAACTCAACATTCAAAAAACTAAAATCATGACAATTGGTCCCATCACTTCATGGCAAATAGATGGGGAAACAATGGAAACCAGTGGCTGACTTTATTTTTTGGGGCTCCAAAATCACTGCAGATGGTGATTGCAGCCATGAAATTAAAAGATACTTACTCCTTGAAAGGAAAGTTATGACCAACCTAAACAGCATATTAAAAAGCAGAGACATTACTTTGTCAACAAAGGTCCATCTAGTCAAGGCTATAGTTTTTCCAGTAGTCACGTATGGAAGTGAGAGTTGCACTATAAAGAAAGCTGAGTGCTGAAGAATTGATGCTTTTGAACTGTGGTGTTGGAAAAGACTCTTGAGGGTCCCTTGGACTGCAAGGAGATCCAACCAGTCCATCCTAAAGGAGATCAGTCCTGGGTGTTCCTTGGAAGGACTGATGTTGAAGCTGAAACTCCAATACTTTGGCCACCTGATGCAAAGAGCTGACTCATTTGAAAAGACCCTGATGCTGGGAAAGACTGAGGGCAAGAGGAGAAGGGGACGACAGAGGATGAGATGGTTGGATGGCATCACCGACTTGATGGACATGGGTTTGGGTGGATTCTGGGAGTTGGTGATGGACAGGGAGGCCTGGCATGCTGTGGTTCATGGGGTCGCAAAGAGTTGGCCCTACTGAGCGACTGAACTGAACTGTCCCTTGTAAGAAAAGTGATAATGAACCTAGACAGCATATTAAAAAGCAGAGATATTACTTTGCCAACAAATGTCCATCTAATCAAAGCTGTGCTTTTTCCAGTAGTCATGTATGGATGTGAGAGTTGGACCATAAAGGAAGTTGAGTCCGAAGAATTTATGCTTTTGAACTGTGGTGCTGGAGAAGACTCCTGAGTCCCTTGAACTGCAAGGAGATCAAACCAGTCAATCTTAAAGGAAATCAGTCTTGAATACTCATTGGAAGGACTGATGCTGAAGCTGAACCTCCAATACTTTGGCCACCTGATGCGAAGAACTGACTCCTTGGAAAAGACCCTGATGCTGGGAAAGACTGAAGGCAGGAGGAAGGGATGACGGAGGATGAGATGGTTGGATGGCATCACTGACTTGATGGACATGAGTTTGAGCAAATTCAGGGAGTTGGTGATGGACAGGGAGGCCTGGCCTGTTACAGTCCATGGGGTCACAAAGAGTCAGACACAACTGAAAAACTGAACTGAAGTGAACATTTGGTAAACATCCTTTGATCCAGGAATCATTTTTTTTTCTGGAAATATGCTCCATGGAATTAATTCTAGATATAGAAAAGCATTTTTATTTCCTTTTAACAAAGAAGTTTGCATGGAGTTAAGAGTGTGTAACACATGCCACTGAAATCAAATAATGCACAGAGGATACACAGGGATGGGACCATGCTTTCCAAACCAACATAGGGTGAGGGCTCTTCTCTTTAATTTTTGACCTCTATGTCACTCAAAGTCTCACACAAACATAAACTAGTCACATTTAGTTCTACACTGACACTACTGTTTCACTGGAAAGATAATAAAATGCAAGAAGATGTAATGATGTGAAAATGGAATTCTCCAAGGAGATACCAGCTATGTATTTCCTAGCTTTTATTTTTATTTATTTATTTTTAATATATTGACTTTTTAAAAGATTTTTCTGATGTCGACCATTTTTTAAAGCCTTTATTGAATCTGTTACGATATTGCTTCCGTTTTATGTTTTGGTTTTTTGGTCACGAGGCATGTGGGTTCTTAGCTCTCTGACCAGGGTTCTGATCCACATTCCCTGCTTTGGAAGGTGAAGTTTTAACAAATGGACCGCCTGCAAAGTCCCAACCTAAACATAGTTTTTAAATCCAGAAAATTTATCTGTACAAAAACTACAGACACAGTCCAGTCAGTTAATTTAAAGCCCCCGTTCCACAGAGACCATAATTCTGGCCACAGCGGCCTGTCCCGGACAATGAAGACAGTCGGGTTCTTGCACCCATTTCTGGCTCTTCTGGCTGAAAAGCGCCTCCAGTTCACAGACTGTGGGAAACGCTCCTTCTACTTTCTGTCTTTGCCCCACCTACCCCACCCCACCCCCGCCCCACTTCCTCCTGGCCCCACATGGTACTCACTCAGCCTCCTCAAGTACAAAACAGCATCTTCATACCCTCGGTAGTAATAATCGTGGAGGATCTGCAAGGCGGAGCACCAGGAAGTAAGGGTGCGGCAACGCAGAGCCTGGCGGCCCCCGGCCCAAAGCAGCTGCTTCTACTGCTTTCAGCTTCATCTGATGGGCTTTTCAAAACGTACTCCTCCCTTGCTATCTGCTAAGAAGTGGGGGGCAATTCCTGACCATGTGTCCATAGTGATGCTGCATGAAGGTGTTAAACCATTCACAGCTGACCATCAGTTTCCCCTGGGCCGCAGAATGTGAGCGGTCTATAGCAGAATCGAAGAAGGTGCATTTGGACAGTAGGAAGAGCAGAATTAGGAGACTCGGCTCAAATCCCAGCACGGCCACTTATCGGCTTGGTGGCTGTCTGAATATGACATCTCACAGCCTCAGTTTCTTCACTTGCAAAATGGGAATAATAACTGTATGTATTACAGAGGATGCTGGCGGATTACCCGAGATATTGCCCACCTTTTCTGTAAAGGGCCAAATAGTAAATATTTGGGGCTTTGCTGGTCACACACAGTCTCTGTCACTTCTCTTTTTATTTTTATTTTTAACAATGCCTTAAAAATAGAAAGTCCATTCTTAGCTCACAAGGGATGGGCTGGATTTGGCCCCTGAGCCATAGTTTGCTGACCCCACACTGAATGTCAGAATGAGCGAGTTCAGCCAACATTCCTATCAGCGGTTCTGACATAATCAGGGGGAGAGAATTGAGGCTGGGAGCCCCTAGGGCACTTGTTCATTCCTGGGTAGCAGCAAGGCCAGGATGCAGGTTTACAAGGAAGTTTAAGGGACCAGCGAAGGGGGAAAGCACAGATGGACTGAGTGGGCCCCACTGGCTCCCCTGTCCCCGTCCCCCTCCCCACGCCACCACCGTCCCTGGCTCTCCCTGCCCCCACGCTCAGATCCCTCGTGCCTCTCACCATCAGGTCTGGGGGGAACAGGGCATGGGTCATCCTGGCAATGTTCTCCAGGGAGAACTGGAAGGAGCAGTTGAACAGGCGGAAATCATGGAAGATGGCAGGGCAGTCCCGCGGGCAGATGTCCTGCTGCCCGCTGAAGGTGGAGATGGTGATGGAGTCGGTCCAGAAGGAACAGGGCTGCATGCCGGTGAAGCCCCCGTCGATGTACCGCTGTGGAGCAGGGGGTGCCCATGAGAAACGCACATCTGGGGTCACAGGCCCTCTCCCCCGCTCAGGTCATCAAAGAAAGGGGTCTTGGGACTTCCCTAATGGTCCAGAGGTTAACATTCTGCCCTCCCAGTGGGAGGGGAGGGGTGTGGGGGCATGGGCATGGGTTTGATCCCTAGTCTGGAACTAAGATCTCGAAGGCCGCATGGTAAGACCAAAAACAAAAAAAAGGAAATGGGTCCCTTGGGAGATGCTCTGACACCAAGGTTCAGGGGCATCCATGCTCTGGATAAAGTTGTCATAGTCATCTTTTGTGAAGTCCCTCAATGGCTGAGGGCAGGGCTGGGGAATGGAACACAACCCCAGGGCCTTATGAGAAGGTGTACATGCAGTGAGTCCGAGCAGGTTGTGAGACATTCCCCCTCCACGCTGCCGCAGATCCCAGTTGCCTCCCTCTGTTGAGGTCAGACCTCCCCCTGCAAACCCTTCAGAACCCTCCTCACCACCAAGTGTCCACCCTCAAGTCCCTTTCCCTCTTGGGGCTTCTGTTCCCTCAACTATGAACAAAGGATCACAGACACAGAGGCTCCAACTCTCTGGGCGCCTGAGAATTACACGGATGGCATGCACTAAGGGTCCATCTGCTAGCTGACTCCTAGTCTCTGGATCTCATTTTCTCTAGATATAAAATGAGGAGGGGATATGGGTTAAATCCTCCTGCTCAGAGTGTGGTCCGTGGACCAGCAGCATCTGCATCAGCTGAAGCTGGTCAGAGGCACAGTCTCACACTGACTGCATTTTCCTACTAGGAAAATCTTGCAAACTTGTGGAGCCTTGACTTGCCAGGCTCAGTAATGGGTTGGTAGGTGCAGAAAGAAGCCCGGCCCAGTGGGGGAAAGGTCATCTTAAACCCCAGAAATCCATCTACATTGGGAATTCTGCGTAGGAAAACACAAGGGCCTTTTCAATTCTTGTGGTCTTCCCACTGAATTCTGAGACCATCCCTCACAGATGTGGGTGATAGGGGCCCCCCTGGACCCCAGCTCGCCCCCTCCCACACTGAAGCACATACCACGCCACGGTAAGTTGGAGGAATAAGGCCGCAGTACACCGGGACGAAGCAGCTGCAATACAGGGCCTGTGGGGAGAGAACAGGGCTGAGGTGCCCGAAGCATGGGAGCTGAGTGGAGAGGACTCACCAGCAGCCTCTGGCCACCACCAGCCTGGCCCTCCTTACACCAAGGTGGAGGCCTTGCCCTGGGAAGTGGAGCCCAAGTCAGTTCTTGGCTGGGTCCTTGGTAACCTCCTTGGTTGGTCTGGGCGGGGTGTCCCAGCTTTAAAGGGACAGAGCGGCCTCAGTGATCTCCAGGCTTCCTTCTGGCCCCAAATTTCCATGAATCCAGTGGAATTCAACAACCATTGTTATTTATCTGGCCTGGGCCTCTGGAATCTGATCCTTTGGAATCAAGGGATATGCCCACCCTTGGAAATGTTCAAAGAGGGAGAACAAGTAGGTGACAGTACATGGGGTGATCAGGGCTGTGATAGAGGTGGGCATGGGCAACATGGCCCCAAAGAAGTGCCCAACCCAGGGGGTGCAAGGCTGGCAGGTAATGAAGGAAATTTCCCTGGCAGGAGTGATTGGAGTTTCACTGAGCAGGTGAAGTGGCGTAGAAAGGGGGAAGGGCATCCCAGGCAGAAGGAACAGCAGGAACAAAGGCACAGGGCCTGCTTTGCTGGACCTGCTCTGGCTGGTATCAGTAGGAGCGGAAAGTGGCGGAAGAGAACTGGGGAGAGAAAAGTCTTGAAGAACTGGGTGCTAATAAACCCAGGGGACATGAGGCGGCTGGAGGAAGTGTCCATGCCCACTGTCTATTCATCCCCCTCACCGGGATCAAAGCCATGCCAATCTGGGGAAGTGAGGATGGGCAGCAAGGGCCTTGCCTTCAGAGGAGGGAAAGGGAGTGGAAATAAGGGTGGAGGGGCGTGGCCTCAACCCCTTTGTCCTGAAAGAAAATTGGGCATATCCATAGCACTCTTCAACATGAAGGACTCATAACTAAAGTTTATATTAATGGGGGCTTCCCTGATGGCTCAGTGGTAAAGAATCCACCTGCCAGTATAGGAGACATGAGTTAGATCCCTGGTTTCCAGAAAGGTCCTACATGCCTCGGAGCAACTAAGCCCGTGCGCCACAGCTACTGAGCCTGTGCTTCAAAGCCCAGAGCAGCAAGTGATGGCGCCGAGCACCCTAGAGCCAGGGCTCAGCAACAAGAGGAGCCACCGCAGTGAGAAGCCCTTGCACCTCAACTAGAGAGTAGCCCCACCCCCTGCAACGAGAGAAAAGCCCGTGCAGCAACAAAGACCAGCGCAGCCAATAAATAAGTAAATAAAATTATTTTTTAAATTATATTAATGAGCTTAGAAAAGTGCACCATCAGAGCCCTCTTTCCATTTCGTGATAATGCAATCCTTTTTATCAAGGACCAAAGGAAGAGAGAGGGCGAAGCGAGGCCGTTCCCACACCCTGGGAGTAACTCAGCGGGGAAACCCTGCAGCCCAGGTCGACAGGAGCCACAGGACCTCTGCTGATGATACAGACGGGCCTCTGAGAAGCTTCGGGATCAAAGCAGAGGGCAAGGCAGAGGCAAAACGGGCGGGACTCTGAGCGCTCAAGTGCAGGATGGTGACCAAGTCTGATTCGTTTTTGGCGTCTCTCTGTGCCCATCTCGTTTCACAGCTTGCCTGACAGAAAGACGGATGGCAGGAGCCCGAAGGGAGGGAAGAACTTGGGAAGCAGAAAATAGAAGGAAGTGAGGCAGACAGGCGGACCTTACCAGAGGCCTGTCAAAAAAGCAAGACCAGTCTCTCCTTTTAGGCCCCAGCTCCACGGCCCGACTCTCATTTCCAGCCCCGCCCACCCGGCCCCGCCCTTAGCCCTGGCCCCGCCCACTATGCCCCGCCCTCACACCCAGGTCCCGCCCCCTTGCCTCAATGAGCTCTTCCTTGGACGTATACTCCGAAACCACCACACTCTCTCCATCCGTGAACCGGGTGAGGGCCACGTGGAGCTTCCCGGTGGTGACCTTATAGGAGTCCTCAGGCAGGACACGGTACAGAAACTGCCTCATCATCTGCACCATCTTACAGGATGGCGATAAGGGCCCCAAGAAGGACTTCTTCACCTCGGCCACACCCACATTGAGGACTCGAAGGTATTCATCTGTGGAGGAAGCAGAGAGGAGCGGGTGCTCAGCAGCCTCTATGGCATAAAGAGGTCAGGGGCAATCATGCCATCTCAGGGGCGATTATGCCATCTCACCCTGCATCCAGTAAATAGAAAAACCTGTAATTCTGACACAGGAGAGGTCTCAGGCATCAACCTGTCATTCTGCACGTGAGGAAAGTGAGGCACAGAGGAATGAAATCACTGGCGCCTGAGAGCTCACCGCTAGTCAGGCGTCCTGCCTCCTTCAATTGAGGGCGAAGGACCACTTTTCTACCCCACCACCAGACTGCATTCTTTCGAGTCTTAGAGGCTTTTGGCCCTCTATGAGAGTCCCATTAAAACAGTGATATAGTAACTTATATGCAGAATACATCATGAGAAACCCTGGGCTGGAGGAAGCACAAGCTGGAATCAAGATTGCCGGGAGAAATATCAATAACCTCAGATATGCGGATGACACCATCCTTATGGCAGAAAGTGAAGAAGAACTAAAGGGCCTCTTGATGAAAGTGAAAGAGGAGACTGAAAAAGTTGGCTTAAAGCTCAACATTCAGAAAACTAAGATCATGGCATCTGGTCCCATCACTTCATGGCAAATAGATGGGGAAACAGTGCCTGATTTTATTTTTTGGGCTCCAAAATCGCTGCAGATGGTGATTGCAGCCATGAAATTAAAAGATGCTTACTCCTTGGAAGGAAAGTTATGACCAACCTAGACAGAATATTAAAAAGCAGAGACATTAATTTGCCAGCAAAGGTCCATCTAGTCAAGGCTATGATTTTTCCAGTAGTCATGTATGGATGTGAGAGTTGGGCTATAAAGAAAGCTGAGCACAGAAGAATTGATGCTTTTGAACTGTGGTGTTGGAGAAGACTCTTGAAAGTCCCTTGGACTGCAAGGAGATCCAACCAGTCCATCCTAAAGGAGATCAGTCCCTGGGTGTTCACTGGAAGGACTGATGTTGAAGCTGAAACTCTAATACTTTGGCCACCTGATGGGAAAAGCTGACTCATTTAAAAAGACCCTGATGCTGAGAAAGATTGAGGGCAGGAGGAGAAGGGGACGACAGAGGATGAGATGGTTGGATGGCATCACCGACTCGATGGACATGGATTTGGGTGGACTCCAGGAGTTGATGTTGGACAGGGAGCCTGGTGTGCTGTGATTCATGGAGTCAGACACGACTGAGCGACTGAACTGAACTGGTAGTTGAAAAGCTTTACCAAGTGATACCTGGGACGCATGCTTAGTGCCTGCTGCATCGGTGGGCAGGAGGGGGTGCTAACCTTGTGGCAGGGGAATTACAGGGAGGGGTAAACTTTGTTTTGAAGCCATTGCATCATCTTCCTTTTATGGCCCTTGGCCTAGGCCTGAGAGGGAGAAGGCCCTGACATGTGGACACAAGGCTGTGTTGCAGGGGTTCCCAGGAGGGCGAGTGAGATGAACCTTCTCCCTGCTTCTGTGCCCAGGGGCACAGCCTGGGCACATAAGAGCCTACATGTACTGGATGGGGCTCAGAGGTCAGATGTGTTGTCCATGGGGTGGCAGAGGAAGGTGTGACCCTCCCTGCCCCCCGCCATCCCCAGAATTCCACCAGGGAAGTTAGAGTTGTGCGATGAATAAGAAGCGGTGTCACAGCACTAATACTGTGAGGTAGGTAGTTCTGGCCTCATTTTACCGATCAGGAGACTTGAGGCTCCGAGAGCTAATATAAGTTGCCCAAGGGCAACCATCTGGTAAGTGAACAAAGTGGGATTTTAACCTAGAGTGTGTGACCCAAGAACTCATGCTCCTTCACTCCATTAAGCTAAAAGCTTTCAGAGCTGGGCCTGTACCTGCTTCTTGCCAATTGCTGCTAATTTCTATCTTGTGCAAGCCCACTGGGAAAATCAGGAGTGGAAACAGATCTGAAAGGGACTGCTAATTTTGACAACAAATTTAATTGTAAAAACATCCTATACTGGGACTTCCCCGGTGGCCCAGTAGTTAAGAATCTGCCTGCCAGTGTAGGGGACGGGAATTCGATCCCCCGTCCAGGAACTAAGGTTCCACATGCCACAGGGCAACTAAATCCACGAGCCACAGCTCTGAGTTTGTGTGTGGCACCTACTGAAGTCTGCGTGCCCTAGAGCCGGCACAATGCGGCCAGAGAGCAGCCCCACTTGCGGCAACTAGAGAAAGCCTGTGAGTAGCAACAAACAGCTCGTACACCACGATGGAGACCCAGCACAACCAAAACTAAGTAAATTAATTTAAGTAAATTTTTTTTTTAAGCAAAACCCAAAATATCCCATGCAAAAGGACTTTCTTACAATTAGCATCATGTAGCCATGGCTACTTGGAAAGCTGTGCAGTCCTAAGCTCTCTGCCACTTTAGGTCATCAAGCCGAGGTAGGACAAGTACCTCGGCCAAAGAACTCATCAAGGGAATTCCTGCATGGATGGTAAGGGCTAAGATTCCTTCCAACTTCTGGGACTCTCATGGCCGCCTGACAGTAAATCTGAGAAGCCATCACAGGGGACATTACTTTCCTATTTACAAACAGCATCTGAGGCACAGAAAGGTTAAGTGATTTGTCCAAGGTCATACACAGCGATGTGGGGACAAACCAAACCTAGGGGTGCTCTACTCCTCTCCCATTTTACCATTCACAGATTACTCCTCATCAATCCTGGAAGCAGGTAAGATGAGGAGCTTCCGCATCACTTTACAGATGGAAAAACTGAGGCAGAGAAAAGCAAAAGAATACTGCCTGAGGTCAGACAGCCAGGCAGTGTTTGTTCTGACTCCAGACCCCACCTCCTTTCTCTGGGTGTTGGACTGATCCCAGAGGCTGAGCCAGCCTGGGTTGCCATGGTGACGGCCTTTTCTCTCCAGCATTCAGAATCACAGCTGCCTGGGTGTAGTAGGGGCTGACCTGATCAACGCAGCATCTTAGCCATCACCCCCTTATAGGGGAGGATGCTTGTGGTGAGCTGGGAAGGCCTGGCAATTTTAGCAAGGTTAGCCTTTACCAAGTACCAATTGGTACAGACTGTTTTCCACTGGGGGCAGGGAGTGGCGGCAGGCAACCCACCAGTAGGTTATGAGGCAGCTGAGCATTTTGATACCAAGGTGTTGGGTCACTTGAGTTCTTGCCCATAAGACCAATCAGGTTGGAGAGTCAGGTTAGGGTGGGGACTCGCTTTTTGGCAATTCTTAAAGAGCAGCTTGAGGTGGCCTCACAGGGTTGGTGGCCTTTCTCACAAGCCTCAGAGTCAGGAGTACCTGGCTCAGCTTGCCCCCCAACTCCTAGACTCCTAGCAGGAGGTGCTCACTAGGACCGCTGGAAGGAAATTTATTCTCACTGCATGGGAAATACATATTCATTGTGGAAAAAAGAATTTTTTTTAATGCAGCTGAGCAAAATGAAAGTAAAATTAATGTCTTGGATTTCCTCCACCCAGAGGTTAACATTTGGTTTGTGTCTTCCTAGACTGTTTTATATATTTATTCTTACTTACAAGAATGCTTATATAGAGTCATACTACATACACTATTTTGTAACTTGCTTTTTTTACCTAATCATGTCTTTCCACATCAGTAAGTACCCATTTATAACCTAATTCACGAGCATAATGGACAGCTATTTGTAAAGATATATCATTATTTATTGAGCAGGTCCCCAAAGGGGTTGGCTACTTAGTTTCCTTGCTTTTTCTAAACAATTCTGCAATGAATCATCTCTTGCTAAATTCTTTGCCATTCCTTAATTATTGTTGTCAGGATAAATTCCTGTACATGGAAATGCTAGGTCAAAGGCATGCATATTAGTCTTGTAATACTTAAATCATTGCTTTGGTATATTATCCATTTACAGTCAACTCTCAGTTTTATAGGGATGGAGGTGGGTGACAGGGACAAGGCAGTGGCCAAGATAACATAGATATCGCCTACATACTTACATCTGAAAAATGGTGCCATCTGGAAATTAGAAGGGTAGCCAGGTTGAAAGGGGGCAAGAGATTGCCTGATTGCTCCCACTCAGGTGCCTAGTTTAATATTTTTTCCTACTGCTCACTAGGACTGCATCCCAAAGTGTGCAGAGTTATCTCTGTCTCACCTTGCTTCTCTTCAGATCTCTCTCTCTGCATCTCTTTCTCTCTCTGTCTGCTCAGAGAAAAACACCTAATCTGGTTAAACTAGTCTCTATTGGTAGAAAATCAAGTGTTAAGCATAGCAATTGCTGGGTGCTGCGAGGAGGGATAAATTTAGCTGGCTTCTTTATGCATCTCTGTTCTTTCTAGCACCTTCTCCCATTTAAAGGCCTCCTTCCAAGCTGCAGGCTGCTGGGCTCTGAAACATAGTGTCCCACAGGGACCACAGCAAGATAGGATTTAAAAGCAGCTCTGTAGGAAACTCAAGGTGGGCCGCTCCCACCCCCAGCCCACACCTGCCACAACCACTTCTGCTCCTTCCCATCTCCTTTCACACCTTTGTATTTAACCTAATTGTGGGTCTGTCTCCCAAACCAAGGAGAGTCTCTGAGGGCAGGTCTCGGTGGTCCTTCTTTCTCCATGACCTCTCACTGCACTTTGCCCGTGGAAGACCCTTCAGAAACTTTGCTCTAAGCTGGGAACTCCTCATGGAAGGGATGGGCCACACTCACCTACACCCACCAAGCCTCCCACAATACTTGGTGGGTGCTCGGTGTTTGTTCAGTACATGAACAAAGGAAAATAAAAAGCCAACAAAGCAAGCAATGGAAATGCTTACAGGAAAGAGTTACTTGACTTAATTACCCAATAAAAATTTGAAGGCAAGCTCATCACAGATGGATAGATAACAGAGTCAGTGATATTGATAAGTATGGCCAATTCACCAGGTTTTATGAGTCTATTGTACCAAAAACTTCCGTTGAAAAATAAATAAGATCCTGGGATTGGGAGGTTTTGAAGAGGATTTGGAAACCACTCCAAGACTTAGTCACTCAGAGACTCTTTTCTGTGACCA